TGATGTCATCGGGATCATTTTGAAAATATCCTACTGCGGCACTTGTGTTCTTGTGCATTTACCCAAATTTTTCGGTAAGTACGGCACTGTTCTTGATAATATTGTCATTTTAGATGTCATACATTGAGCTTTCACTCTGACGTAAATTGTTATTTAACTTTGTCCCTTTAAGAGACAAGAAGAGAGCACAGTGGATCAGGGAACAAACCAGGGTTAAGGGTATCATAGTTGAAATCAAGAAGAGGAAATGGACCTGGGCCATTCATGTAGCGCAGGATAAGCGCTGGTCATCAGAAGTAACTGGCTATATTCCCAGAGAAGGCAAGCAGGTAAGGGGGGGGATAGAAAGTTAGATGGTCAGATGAGATTAAGAAGTTGGTGGGTATTAAGTGGCAACAGCAAGCACAGGACTGAGTTGACTGGCGGAACATGGGAGAGGCCTTTGTTCTGCTGCGGACTTAGTCATGCTGATGATGATGATGAGCATCCAAAAACCACGATATGACTATGAGAGATGCTGCAGTGGGGTGCTCCGGAAATTTTGCAACTTTGCTTCTTTAACATGCACCTGAATTAAAGTGCACGGGTCTTAAATATTCTCACCTACATTGAAAATACAACTTGGATTTAATCTCGCTACCTTCGGGTCAGCAAAAAGGGCACCATAATCACTGGATACCCTGGTGGGTAGTAAAAAAAATGCCAGGCCTGCGCGGAAGGCACAGCACAGTAACAGTGAAAGCTAGAAGGGCGGCCTTTCAGAGCCTTTTCTCATTGGGTAACTACTGCAAGCACACTTCCTTGATACCCACTAGGTCATTATTCATAAATTTATTTGGGTAGTAGGCCAGCCTTGGCTATGCTATTTTTTGTCATTCTTCTGAGAAGGGTGATATACGCTGAACACTTGCAAGAAATTTTCTGTCAATCGTTCATGCAGTGGCTGACGACGATGAGTAATTATGGCTGCAGTGGGTATGGGCCACAGTTAATAGGGGAACAATAACAAGCTTTTGGGATGGGTTGGAGCATTGGACAGCCCACTCCTTACGCTATTCGTATTGTGCGACGACTGGTGGTTCTTTTGCTGTCTTAAAACACTTTATCAGCCGTATTAATGCGATTGCTTTCCTGACATCAAGCCTGTCTGAGGCAAGTTTGACAATAACTCACAAGCACCAGTGTAGCTCAGTGGTAGAATACTGGACTGACACCCAGCGGACCTGGGTTCGAGCCCCACTGTGTCATTGGTGCTAAGTCAAGCCTGACTAAGGCAAGTTTGACAGCAAATTACAAGCACCGGTGTAACTCAGTGGTAAAATACTAGGCTGGCACTCAGCGGACCCGGATTTGAGCCCAACTGTGTCATTGGTGCTAGGTTTTTTTTTTTTCTAATTTCACGCGATGTGGTTTTGGACACCAGCGGCGGCAGCAGTGGTGGCGGCGGCGGCGTACAACTGCACTTGATCCGTGTTGTGATCTCATAACAGCTTTCACTGTGAAAGACAGTTTTGGAAAAATCAGTATGTGCTACTTTTCGTTCAGCTGTAAGGAAGGAAGTTCAACTTTATGAGACATATTGCTGAAAATCACTTTTACAGCGTGGTAGAGTGATTTAGTTCTGTCCTGTTACCTACTCCTTGCATTTTAATGGCACCTTTAACTTGCAGACACGGTTAGCGGATATGAAAAGTGTGAATGACAATGCAACAAACCAAATTTGCATGTGGCAATTCTAGCCAATTTTCGGTAACATATGGGGCATATAATGTCACATGCGATGCGCAGGATACTCTTTGTGTCAATTGAAAAAGATAGTCAACAGTATTCCGCTATGTAATGTGTCTGTTTGCGGCGTGAGACATTGCTTGCACAAAGTTTCTTTCATTTCTTGTAAAAATTATGGTTACTATATATATTGCTCATAATTTTACGTGATAACACGCCCACCCATGTTTCTCCATTCTGTGCATTTCTTGTCGTGCATCATGTCGCTAGATGCAGAAATAGCTCGGTGTGCCCTTTTAGTCATGTCAATGTAAAGAAACGAACAGATGAAGCGAATCAATATATATAATTTGTCATATATTTTTTCAGCTTTATGTTCCTTATTCCTGCGCTATTTGCCACAGTGCTGAACAATAAAGCTTGTGCTCGCTACAGCTGCCCACACTGGATTTCTCATTACTCTGCTTTAGGTTTATGACCACTATCTTTTTTATTTATCAGCCTAAGTTACATGATGAGTACTTAAGTAGGCCTTTCTAAGGCTGTGATTAGCCTGCACGTTTCCCTGTGTTGCACCTTCGTCACTAGACAACACTTCGGAGTGCCTCAGACGTTAGGGCTTAATAAATATATTGCAACGAAATTTATTTGTAGAGCAGAACGCAGAAGGCGAAGCAGTCAGCGGCGTCCGGCCAAGCGCAGCAAGCATGAGCTTATGCGTATGGCGATGCTTCTGAGGTGCTGAGAAATGCCGCTAAGGCCCCTTTTCTTCACCGCAATCGCCGTCCTTAGAAAAAGGCGCCATCCTGGCGGATTAAGGAAAAGAAATGACTAATTGGTCCTAGTATGACTTGAGGCGAGAGATGTGGACAGAGTTGCGGCCGCGGTAGCGTAGGTCTGTGGATAAGATGATGGGCTCCACGATATAGTTGACGAGTGACGTTTGCTCTACAACGCGATATGGTCCAATGTATTTGGGAAGAAGTTTTGCAGAGCGGCCAGGTGCAGTAGCAGGTGCCCGAAGCCGTACCAATAAACCAAATGGAAAGTTTGAAGCCGAACGGTCCCCAGGCTGGCGGGATTGCTGTTGCCACTGGTCCTCGGTAGAACAACAGTGGACAAGCTGGTGGCATTCTTCAGCATGTCGGGTAGCTTTGAGCAGAGTTGTACTTTCGGACTCATCAGGTTTATATGAAAGAATAGTGTCTACTGTATTGGAAGGTTTTCGTCCGTAAAGAAGAAAGTACGGCGAAAACCCAGTAATAGCTTGTACGGCAGTATTATACGTGTAGGTGCCGAACGGGAGAACTTGGTCCCAATTTGAATGATCAGAGGCGACATACATCGGCAGCATATTGCCAAGAGTACGGTTGAAGCACTCCGTCATGCCATTCGTTTGAGGGTGGTATACTGTACTTGTGTGGTGCACGATTCGGCATTCGTTGAGTAATGCTTTCAAGGCGTCAGAAAGGAAGCCACGGCCTCTGTCACTTAAGAGCTCGCGAGGGACACCATGACGCAGAACGAAACGTCGCAACAGAAACATTCCAACGAATCGAAGTACTCGCAAGCTAGTTTGTTCTTGTCTGTGCTATCAATGTTGAGGTCACCAGTGATAAAAAATGTTTGTCTCATTGGTTACGTGTTCTTCGAAAAACAATTGTAGTGCTTGAAGGAAATCTTCCGTCCAGTTTTGTGGGGATCTGTATATTACACTCACAATCGTAATTTTGGTCTTATGTGGTACACAACTAATTGATGTGGAAATAGGAGGAATTTATATGAAAAGTGATTCACACCATTCTGTTGCAAAGCATAGGTTTCGTCGTACTTTGTACTTGATGTTGTCTTTAGCGTATAGAGCTACCCCTCCAAGCAAAGAAGTGTCTGTTGTGAATAAATCGAATATTCTGTCACGCACGTACGCGTGTGTGTGTGCGTGCATGTATGTTGTGTTTAGGTTTTAGCAAAATGTGCAAAGGTTAAATAGAAATGTATTATTCTTTGACTTAACTATATCTTAGCGCATGTACAAAGAGTTGCACTGTAATATGCTTGAACATGGCCTATCAGACCCTGGAACTGTGGCAGGCTATTTCCATTAAATCGAACCTCTCTCTATTTAAAATCATCGTAGTGATCGACTCTGGTGAGATGTGTTCCGGCAGGTACAAGTATGAACACAAGTTAAGCATTAATCCTGTCGCTGAGCCAACTTAAGACACTTGCGGCCAATATTCCTGCTCCAACTCTCACAGAATCCTAAGCCTCGAGAAACACTGCGACACGTCTTTCTGTGTGCAGACAATATTCATTGTAAAAGCACCCAGCGGTGATATTGTGATAGTAGCAGTGTTTAGTTTCTAAATCATGTCAGTGCCAAGCGACGGGAAAAGTAATGTGTTGAGGAAGTGGCAGAAGTGGGGGGGGGGAGGGTGTTGGACGATAAATTTTGGAGGGAGTTTAAATCCCACTAACCCCCCCCCCCCCGCCCCCTCGGCTACACTACTGGAATGGTAGATCCACCTAAAAAAAGACAGTGCCAAGAAAATTGTGTTTCAAGTTTTGAAAACATTTTTAATTGATTTCATTGAGCTTAATTTTTTTAACAAAAAGAAATGGTATTCTGCCATAGTATAAGATTTTTCCAAAACAGAATGAGGGCTATGAATACCTCAAATTGCAATTTCCAAAAGCCTGCAATGTTTACAATTTCGTGCTATTTTAAGACCCTCGTCTGGGGTGCTGTATTACTAGGATGCCTGTAAAAGGAACCAACAGCCACAGTTGAGCTACCACTCAGCATAATCTTGCATTACAGTTTCACACAAGTCATTATCAGTATGGATACTGACACTGTTATGAATCATTAGGAAAGCACTGCTCCAGTGCAGTCTTTTCAGTAGAATTCACAATCTGTGGTGGTGATAACAAGCCAAGATGCAATGCCAAAATCTAAATGGTTACTGATGAAAAAACGTTTTTCTTGTTTTTTTTAAACAGCAACAGTTGATTACAATGCATGTCAGCTCATTTGCTAGTTTGGTAGGTGGCACTTTGAGGTGATTGCTATCTACGAGTAGGCACAACGCTATACAAAAATATTCATGAATAACTTATTGAAACGAAGCTTAAAAGCACCTCACTTCCCTTTGGCATATTGTAGTATCAGTTTTTTTCCTCTCTGGCCTGATCACTGATTTCAAAGTCCTGAGCTTGCCTGATATGTTCACTGTTAGTGATCTCCCATTTTTGTCTTTCTGTTTTGACAGGTGTTGTGTCGTCCCTTGCCAGCTACCTGAACAAGGTTGCCGCTCGCCGAGCTGCCATGTCTCTGGGTGCAGTGCGTATTCACATCACATCTTTGCATGAAAACGCCACACTGTTTTTAGTGTTTGAGAAAGTGCCTGTGTTTATATAAAGCTGTGCAAGAAATTCAAGTTAAAGAAAGTATGTGCACCATTCTGTAGCATCCTCAGTATCGCTGTTTTCCTATAACCGGCTATAGTTCCTACATCTGAAAGCAGTGGATTGAGTGTTATGATGTCTACTGCCGATATTACCAACTTGTTAATATTGCTGTCTATCAAGTGGTATGCATTGAAAACGACCAAGTGAAGGGTGTACGAGAGCCAGAACAGGAATAGGCTTGCGTGAATATTCGAGCCCTTCAAATCGTAGGTCGGCAAATTTACTCTTGAGTTGACTCACTCAGATTGAGTCATGAGTTGGAGACTGAGCGAGTCCGAGTGAGTAGTATGATGGTGAGTCTGAGCTCAAGTGAGTCCAAAGGGCAAAATATGAGTGAGTCTGAGTGCCCTCTGTACTTTTTTGCCAACCTATGGTTTTATTTACTCAACTTCTATATTACTATTAGCTTTACGTAGGCTCATGTTTATATTTACTGCTGACTCGCATATACTTCTATGCCTTAGCCCTCATACACCAGCCTAATATTGTTGATCAGAGGTGTAAATTACAAAGGAAAGTGGAGTCGCAGCTTCTCCACCCCTCACCTCGAAAACGCTTTCCAGAAAATTCTTGATAAAAGTATATCATGTGAAACATTGCTTTTAATAAAGGTTTTCTTGCTGGATTGCTACTACCGAGACCTCATATTTGAAGGTAAGAGATGAAAAAGTGCAAAATAAGGCACCGATTACGCTAGATATTGGTATCAAAGAGCATTGAGACAGAGTTAGAAGAAGCCAATTGTGTGATAGTGGACTCATATCAGCTTACTCCGACTCGCTCAGACTCGGATAAAGCCATGAATCTGAGTCTAAGTGAGCTCAAGTAGGTAATATGTTTGGGAGTATGAGTTCGAGCTAGTCTGGTTAACAGAAAGTTTCGTGAATCTGAGTCTGTGCGAGTCCGGCTCAGGAAAATTTTGGTGATACTTAGTCAGAGTGAGTTCTAAGGGCAAAATATATTTCATAAGTGAGTCTGAATGAGCTCCACATTTTTTCCGACCTATGCTTGGAATATTCAAACAAATAGTAACATATTCGAATTTGCTTTGATATGAATCGAAGCTTATTCGAAATAAGCTTCGATTGACAACATAGCTTAGCTTGACAACATAGAATAGCTTGACAACAATGACTTGCTTCATTTTTGGCAAACGTTCTTATTTGCTGCCATTCATCCTACTTTGGGCTGTATCACTCAGAGGAGAAAGCTGCATCATCATCGTGTGTGCCAAACAAAGACAACTGTAGTGCTAACATGTGATCTTGTGGTGCCTGCAGTCCGGAGCAATTCTGGCTGTGATAGGAGCCCTGTGTGTGCAGTATCCGGATGCACAGCTTAGCATCATCTGCCTGCCTTTCTTCACCTTCTCAGCAGCTGCGGTGAGTGCATTGCTTGGGTATTATTTTGTTTCAACAAATTATGCCGTATTTCTAACGTTATATAATTTTGTAACAGAGTGAAAAGCTTGCCTAGTTGGTTTAACTACATTGTAAAACAGTGCAAGGAGACACAAGATGCAGAACTACTCAGGAAAGCACTGGACTGACAGGTTTACCGTGCAGAAAAGAATTTAGTGCATCATCACATTACCGATAATTTTCACTTTACTCGAGCAGGTTGAATGTACAATCATGAAGACAAATAGATGGGGTGCAAATGCAAGCATTGTGGTTGTTCTTAATGTGAAAGGCATCTATGGTTGCACGTGACCTTTTGTCAATGTGCATGAAGATGACATGCATGCTCTTGAGCAACAGTTTACTACCACAGGAGTGACAATGAGATGACAAATGTGAAGTAGGTGTGCCTGTTAGTGTGTTGTGCTGGCACAGTCTCTAGTTCAGGAAGGCGCCACTCTGTCCAATATATTTTTTTGCGCAGGTTAGTGGGATGCTATACACTATGCCACATGCACATCGTACAAAATTGGTGCGATGACTGATGGAGGACAATCATCTGTAATGTGATGATGTGTGCGCATTACGACTATATGCATTTATGCCACAGTAAACCCAATAGTTATTAGTCCAGCTCCTGTCCTGTGTAGTTCTTCATCTCGCATCTTTTTGCTTTGTTTTACAAAGAAAATAATTGTTTGGCACAAAACATACTGAAATAAAGCAAGAGTAGCAGCAAAAAAAAAAAAAGCGGAAAGAAAGAAGGTGCCAAAAGGAGCTGTCTTCCAGTTCCAAAGACTACAATTGGAGCTTTCTATTTTGATAGAAGTTTGGTTAATTCATTAATACATACTGTTATAAGGAGAAAGGCATCTTAAGAATAACAACTTATTCACAGCACTAAAAGGCAAGATTTCACTAAATATCCTTTTCTTCCCTATCGTGTTCTTCTCTGGTGCCTCGTAGCAATGCATGAGGCATTGTGTTAATGAGGTGAGGCAGACAGTGAAGCACGTCTCTGGTCGTGAAGACGGGGCAGTAGGTTTGCCAAGGCAGTCGCGAGGATGGCTCAGTCAAATCGCATCACTTATAAAATCATCTATTAGGTATGTGATTATTGCATGCTGATCCCTGTTGTTACTGAAACAAAGATTGTGCATAAAGATGTAACAAGAATCTAGTGAAATCACATAAAAGAATAAAAGGAATAATTTCAAGTACTAAGAGGTTATTAGAAAGAAACATAATCAGCCTGAATGAAAAAGTCACCCTTCTTTTTAGAAGATGTACGATTTTTACCAAAGTAGGACAACTGTTATGTACATCTACTGTTTGATGGTCAAGTGATCATTGCATTCAATAACTTGTCCTCGGTCATACTGTGACTTGCGAAATCGCGCATGAGTCATAAACATCACAATTGGGGTATACGCTGCTCAATGACAAGTCTTGCTTGTGGCAGATCTTGAACCTGTAACATTCAGAAGATACATCACCTGATAAAAAGAATACGTATACATGTCTACCTGGCATTCTTCTTGTTACTAGGTTTGATACTTATTGCTGCACAAGTATCAGTTCTTGTGCATCAGTCCTTTTGTTCATGCCCTACGCTAAGCTGGAATAAGCGAACAAAGGAAAAGTATGACTACATGAGAAAAGTATAACAACCTTGTGACAGAATTCGGAAGAAGGTAGATAAAGATTGTCAGTCGAATATAGTCATAACTGAAGCCACTGTCACTACCTTGTCGATTACCTTGTAGCCTTGAACCAATTTTCGCTAGCCAGAACAACCTTATGATTGTATATAACCGGAAATGATGCCGAGGAACATATAGGGAATAGTATTAAATCTTGTTGTAATGTAAATGGGAAGAAACAAACAAAAATAAAACCAAATCAGCAACCTTCAAATAACTTGTCCGATGCTTTACGCCTGAGTTACAGCGGCGGTCACCCCTTTGTCCACTTTATAGGCCTGTGCGTAAGGGCATTTCAATGTGAGAGTGTCAGTCAGCTCCACCGGTAGCCATTACTGTCAGTGTGGAACACTGTTTTTTTACCTGTTGGTGTCACATAGCAAGTGCTCTTATTAAAAGCTGGAAGTTGACCAATAATCCCTAATGTACTATCTGAAAGTATCGAGTTTGTCCGAACGAGACACTTGCTCTGAATGAATGAAAGAAGTGTAAATTTAGGGGCTTGTTTTCTTTGTTAGGCACAATATAGTCAGAACTAACAGACAGTGAAGGCAAGTTAAGTATAGGCGATGTAGTTACAGTTGTAATGTAAATGTGAAGAAAGCAAAGTGGGGACAAAAAGATAACTTGCTGCCAACAGGAACTGAACTTGCGACCTTCGAATAATGTTTTCATTATTCTTATTTCGTAGGTGGTAGCTCGTAATGAGAATAACAGGCAGCGTGATAATGGAAATAAGAGCATAATGAGATCATGTGATGCCAACAGGCAAAAGAAGTGTTCCACACTCATTTTAAGGGCTGCTGGCGGCACTAACTGATGCTTCCATGTTGAAATGCACATATGTACTCTATAATAATGTGGACGGGGGGGATGACCACTGCCGTAACTCAGTGGTAGAGCATCACACAAGTTATTTCTTAGACAAATTATATCAAGCTAAATTTGCAGTTCTTGCTCAATCTACACATGATGAAATTCTTGGCCTCGACTTCCTACAGCAGTGTGGTGCTACGCTTGACTGTGGGAACGGCGAGCTTTATCTGCTCCCTCTTGTTGACCTACCTTCTACCAATTCATGCATCCTCGCCGTCATTGAATATGTCGTCCTCCCGGCACATTCCTTATCCAGAGCTCAAGTAGCTGCTGATAGTGTTGACATTGATGCACTTGCTGCTATTGTGGAGCCTGTGTCTTCAATAATAATGAAGAAAAGTGTGTTTGTACCTTGATGCGTCATCTCTGTGGCCTGTGGAACAACCACTCTGTGGGTGCCAAAGTATCTTGCAAGTCTGTTGTACTGCCCAGGGGTATGAGACTTGCATCGTTTAAAGTGGATACCAGCATTGATGTAGCAGCTTTAATAATGACACATCACATGAAGTCCTGGTGTTCCTCAAGATCCTCACTTTTCCTGAATATTTATGCGACAGCTTGGCCACGTTCAAGTAGCCCGCCGCAATCATCGTGGCACGAGCACCAGCAAGACCCGGCTGGCATGTGCCACGCGTTCATGCGCTCTGGCTACGAGGAAGAGGAAGATAGTTGAATCTCTGCAACTCGACTACTCGGACTCGACGACCATAGTCATTAGACTCGTGGGCACAAGTTCGCCCTTTATAAAGACGCTTGTTTTTTAGCCTGTCCGCCTCAGCATTGCTACATTTCTGGTGGAGGTGCTGGTTAATGAATCGAAGCCCCGTGAGCTCAAGACAGCGTAGCCCCGACGACCAGCGTGTCAACCTCGTGGAAGTGACTCCTGTACACCGGAGGGCAAGTCGCCGCCTTCGAGGTGACTCACCTGAGTTCAGTCCTCTTCACTTCACACCAAGGGGAATTCAAACAGTGGACGCCACCACTATGACTAGCCAGGTAACACCGGCACAAGTGTTCATCGGTCAACCGCACCAGCTGCCAGTATTACACGGCGACTCATATGAGGATGTGGAAGATTGGTTGGAGCTGTTCGAGAGAGTGGCGAACTTGAATGGATGGGACGAAAGAGAGAAGCTCCATCGCGTATACTTTGCCCTGGAAGACTTCGCAAAGACATGGTTTGAGAACCATAAAACTTGTCTACCTGGGAGGTATTTCGACGACAAGCGATGGCTACGTTCGCGAACATAGACCGGAAAGAAAAGGCGGAAGCTGCTCTTCAATCAAGGAACCAACTCACAAACGAGAGTGCTGCCATTTACATTGAGGACATGGTTCGTCTATTCAAGCGTGCAGATTACAACATGGCGGAGGATAAGAAGGTGCGCCATCTAATGCGCGGAGTGAAGTAAGAGCTGTTCGTCGTTCTCGTCCGCAACCCTCCAAGCACAGTTGCTGAGTTCTATTCGGAAGCGACGGCCATCGAAAAAACACCGGAACAGCGAGCTCGGCCGTACAACTGGAATCTTAACTGCGCATCTGCACACGTATTCTCTGGAGGCGTGCGAAACAACGTTGAAGCTCTGCGAGAGCTCATTAGATCAGTTATTAGAGAAGAACTAAGCAGACTGCAAATGCGCCACACTCCAACTGTACTATCTGTTACAGACGTTGTTCATGACGAACTGAGACAGGTCATACGAGAGTCAGAGCATGAGCTGCAGCCGGTTTGACCTATCCAAACATACTCTGAAGCTCTCAGACAACCCACGGTACACAGCAATGCAGCAGTTGCGATGCTGTGTCCACACCCGGAAAGTCCACACCCGGAAAACTAAAGCAAGCGACCTGTGGAGGTGAGGCCGCTGATAACGTCAGTTACGAAGATCCTCCAATTTGGTTTGAGGGTGATGACGGTGTATTTCCGGTAGATGGGTGCAGCAACGAAAACGTTACTTCAGATTTGCGGTTGAGAATGGAAGGATGGGAGCTGAATGCCTTAGTCGACACCGGTGCTGATTATTCAGTGATAAGTCACAAGATGGTGAAAAAGCTAAACAAAGTTGTGACACAGTGGAGTGGATCGCAGATACGCACGGCAGGCGGTCACATTATTACACCCCTTGGCAGATGCACTGCAAGACTTGATATAAGGGGCTTTCTTTATGCTGCCGATTTCATTGTGCTACCAGAATGTTCAAGGGAACTCATTATAGGAATGGATTTTTTGCGAGCTAATGGTGCCGTAATTAACCTGCGTATGTCCAGCGTGTCGTTTTCGACTGAACGAGTTATACCTGTGGAGGAATCTGAGGAACGACGCTTAACTGCTCTACGCATTGTTTTTGATGACGTAACTGTGCCACCACGCTGCAGTGTAATGGTGCTCGTAGAGAATGACGC